CCTCATGCTAAGCATGTGATGCAGCAAACAGTCAGAAAACTGGAAAGATAATAAATTCTTCCACATGCAGCTTAATTTTGTTTCATGCAAATTTGTTTGCCTCGATCAAGTGTTACAGGATATTCAAGATATTGAAAAATTCGTCTAATTAAAACCTAAATTCTTTCATTGGATACATAATTATTATATACTGAAAGGTGATATAAGGTTTTAGGCACCAGAGAAATCACCTCTTTGATGATTTAATAATCGAAGCCATATATGAAGAAAAGATTGTCTAACATGAAAGGCTGGAAATTTGCATGAATCTAATTTTGGAAAAACTCACCGATATTGTTCCTTTCAGTACTGTGCCTGAAATAGTGTCTTTTCTATACAGGAAGTCGGTGTTCAAGTTGAGTTAAAGGGAGTATTTCGAATACTGATTTTCTAGATAGGTAGGCTCTGCTAGCGTGTAAGCCTGACGAAACATAATCTTTCATTTAGCTATCTTTTGTTCTTAGAGAGTTTAGTATATATTTCATTTCGCGAGTGTTAAGACTTAACGATAACAAAGAAATCATACTTATCCAACAACTGTGCGTCTCTCTCTCTCTCTGTCTCACTATATATATATATATATATATATATATATATATATATATATATATATATATCATATCTTCATTCAAAATAGTTTAATTGAATATTGAATAATATCGACATATTATGTATATTTATTTTGATAATAATCCTTTCTAGTTCTCTAATTAGTTTCTTGATGTTAAGTTGAATTTCATCAAGAAAGGCGACGTAGTTTTTGTTAACGCAAGTACTTTCGATATCCTCTGAGATCATCCTCAGGGGTTAATTGTGAAGGAAAATTCAATTATAGTCGCTGTGATGATGATTTTTGAAAACACGCAGGAACGCGCTCTGTCATAAGTTTTTTCAAATTTTAAGATTATACATTGTAGCTATGGTATTTTTGCAAACAAGCGTCCCAATATAAGGAAGCTAACCAGAGATGGTAGAAATGGAAAATGGCATTAAATGTTGGCCAAATGCATTTTAAACGGTTGCTACTACACTCGTAATAATTTTTGTTCAGTGTTGGTTGGTTGCTTTTGACATAGAGAGCCTCGAGAAATTGAAGTTTTTGTTTATTATTTTTATGGTTTAGTATATTGGCGTTGTCAACAAGCATTTTCCTGTATTGTGAAGGTAGAGAGGAATGTGTCTTTAAATGTTGTGAAATAGAACTTGTATCTGACAAATGCAATGTATGACGTCTTGATAATGTTGTTGTCGTCAGACCAACATATGGGCTTACATTTTTAACAGAGATACAATCTCCCAAAGGACATTTAAAATTCTCCTGTATTCCATGTTTTTAACTAAGATGAGAATATTATCTACATATCTTAGGTATATGGAAGGATTTTTAGGGGTGTTAGATATCTTATTTTCAAAGTCAGACATGTAAAAGCTACTAAATGTTGGCTCCATAGAAACTCTATCACATTGTACGTAGATATTATTTTGATTGTCATAGAAGAGAGCCTCAGTGGTACAAGTCAAAATTTTTCGTAGTATATTAGGTTTAATTTTTAGTGGAGAGACAGAGATGGATTGTTGTAAATATTCTTTCTAATTATATCAATTGTTTCTCTAACTGGGACATTGGTAAATAAACTTTTAATATCAAGTGAGGTTATGGTTTCATTATTAGGCTTTGTGTTTTTAAGATTTGGATTTGTTCATGAGTTGATTTAATACTGTATTTACTAGGTATCTAAGGTGTAATGAGTTGGTTGATGATTTTAGTTAATTGGTAAACCAGAGTGTAGATTGGGATATGATGAGACTGAGATGGAAATTAGGCTTTTGTGTATTTTTATAGTTCCATATATACATCCTGTTTTGTAGTCTCGGATTATTTTGGGAAGTTTTAAGTTGTCCTGTTCTGCGTTGTTGGCTCTGATCAGTTAGGATTAAGATTGATTTTTAATTTCAGTTGATTTGTAGGTTTTGATGACTTTTAGAATTTGGTGATCGTCGAGTATTTCCTGTAAGTTCGAATTATAATCGTATTTATTTAATACAACAAAAATATTGGTTTTATCTGAAATTTATATCCATGAATATGGTTACGTAGTTGGCATCGATTTTAAATTGTTTTCTTAGGAGCTTGCAAGAGTTTTCCCATTTGTCGTGTCTGCCTTTTATTGCTCCGGCTATATATATATATATATATATACTTGAATAATTTGACAGACCATTATATCAAGTTAATGTTCGTGACTTATCAATTAAGTCTATTGTTACAAGTAAGCTTATGGCCAATCAGGATTCTTTAGGTTTATTTTTGGAGTCATTTTGGAGAGACATTTGATCTGATTATATCTGTTGAGTTTTCTGATAGAACTTCAAGCACTGAACAAGTACTTCCTTGACAGCTAATTATCTTCAGAATTTTGAGGCAACAAACCTTTTTTTATCCGAAAGTCAAAGATTATTGCTTCGATCTCATTATTTTCTTTATACCAATTCCCTTTCTTTATACCAGTTTTAAGAGTAGAAGAATGTACTGGTGAAATTGTATCCAGCATTGAAAAACATCATCTGGAATTTTATCAAAAAAAAAAAAAAGAAAGAAAAATGTACTGATTTTGTAGCAATTGCCGATCTACATTGAATGTAATCTCAAGAAAAGAAGCTTCACTGAGTTATCACTCAACTCTCAGATAATATTTAAGTAATAAAAATACCTATATTTTATTAAAATACTTTGTTCAGATTTAATATTTTTGTTTCTGTTATCTATTCTGTTGAAATCGCACCATGTTTTGACATTGTCATTTGAACAGTGGCCCAATGGATATAAACGTTGGCTAAGTGTATTCAGTTTATTTAGAGTCTGTGAGTTTGATGCAAAAAGCTTCATTGCTTACTGATGTTCCATTCTGAGAGCTGACGTTGCTTCTACCTTCACATCTGATATTTAAGATATTTAAGAAACCGTGTTGATGAAACTTACCAAGTGCTCTTCACATATCGCTCTGTTGTCTCAGTTTCTGATGTATACAGCAGTGTTAAGATCATTACTGCTTTGTCGCTTAATATTCTGGTATCAGATATGACGGTGATGAAAAACTCATGTTTGAAATCATCCCAAACCTGCCCTTAAACGATGACTTGAATGACGGCATTGTAGTAGACGCGAGATCCAAGATATGGAAAGTGGACCACGTTTTCCAGGGTTGTTTTAACCAAGTTGAATTAATAGTTCTTTGGGATTTAGCTGCTGACGATTGATATGAGTCTTCCTGAAAATAACGGTTGAATTCAGTCAGGACCTCTTGCATCCAGCTAACTTTAGTCTAGTTTACGCCGTTGAAGTTGTTTTTTCGAAACCAAAGTCTTAAAAATATATCCTACATTTTCAAGTTGGAATATATTGGGTTGGCCAAAAAATCGTTCGGTTTATTAAGTAAATTTTCTACTTATGTTGTGTCGGAAACCTACCACCTCTCTTGAAGATGAACTTGTCTGTGAACAAAGACTTTAAATAGTGGACATGGGAAGGCAGATAGACAGAGAAGTCCTTAGCTGAGCTAGTTATTGACTACTCAGGCGATTTCTGTACCTTTTTACCAACCTATTAAAACCCTTTTTATTGTTACGTGTTATTTGGCGTTTGTAACCCCAAATCAACATCATAACAACTTAATAAGTGAAGGAACTTTTTGGTCAAACCAATAATATTGCCTAGAGATCGAAAACTATGTTTAGGTACATGATTTTTTTCCTGAAAGATTCTTTAGACATTTTAGAAGTCCATGCTAAATAAAGATGTGCCCTCGAAACGGGGAAATAGGAAATTCACTGAGCACACAGACACTGTAAGGGTGCAGATGTAAATATTTACAGTTTGCATACACAAAATAGATTAAGTATGTCCGTTACTTCATACATCGTTAACTGAATATCGATTTTACATTTTCACTGTAGGAGGGGTGCTGAAAATTTATCAGCCTCGCCCACTTCCCAAAATCTGAGCAAATGTTTAAACGACATAATTTTTTCTATATTCATGGTCAGACCGAGATCAGCCTAGCCTCATTTTTGTTTGTCTGATCTATAGGAGTAATATTGCCAAATGAATCAATATTTTGGGGTGTAAAAACAAGTTTTATATCACTAAGCTGTAAAATTCTGTATGTACCTCCGTATATATGCCCACCTGTGCGTGTGTGCTTTTGTGTGTGTGTGTGTGTGTGTGTAAACGAATGCCGTTTGCTCTATGAAAGTAATTACCGGAAAACTGTTTCCTCTGCAACAGGAAGCAGTTATAAGGCCTCGTTATAATAAAATTTCCATTTTTTCTTTTCTCCAAAAGACCAAGGTTCATGAATATTTATGAGAAAAAGTAACAACGGAAACTAACTGACAAGCAGAACATTCTCAAAGCCAGCAACAGACAAATGAGGTTTCGAGGATTCGATTCTTTTCTAATTTTTATTTTTTACGTCACATTCTTACCATTTTACATTTTTCTTTCTTTCTTTCTTTCTTTCTTTCTTTTTTCTTTCTTTCTTTTTTCTTTCTTTTGTCTTACTTTCTTTTTCGTTTCTTTTGTTCGCTTCGTTTTTTCTAGTTTTTCTTGGCGGTGTTCTTTCTTTTGTTTCTTTCAAATTCCTTCTATTTGATTTCTTTATTTAAAGAAGCCACTCCTTCTCCCGTGGGACAACATGTCGAACTCGGTTGACAGTCTCACTCGGAAAAATATAATTGAGGATTAGAGTTGTGTGACGCGATCCAGTTAGTTATACGAGTTCTGATAGATCAAAAGTTAAATAAATCAATGATCCACACGCTGAGGAAGCAGAAGTACATTGAGTTAAGTTCAGAGACATGAGATTACTTCTTATCTTGTGATATTTGGGAGATACTAGTGATACATGCTTCTTTTATAAACTAGCAGCTACTACATTCGTTCATTTCTATGAATTTCTAAAATGTATTTCACTCTGTTTATTATCTATCTATCTATCTATCTATCTATCTATCTATCTATCTATCCGTTTATATTGTTCTCAGGTATGATGCATTTCTCTACATTTCTCCTTGGAAGGTACTTCGACTCGTACTAAAATATTTGCGTGGGTGGTTGGTCTGCTCAAGTATACATAAGACCTGCGCTTAGTGATGGCGTGTTTAGTTCTTGAATAATAACAATATCTATTCCGGTATAAAATTAAATAAGGAAATAAAGGGAAAGAACAATCTATAAGAAAAAATGTTGAATGATGTTGAGTCGTTAAACTAGACCAGGTGTGTTTCGACAATGTCGGACGAAGAGGTTCAAGGTTAATTGGGCAACTTGCCCTCTCCAAATGCTGCAACATCTTGACATTTAACTGTTTGATCACTTACTGTCATCAAATCTCATTGAAAACCGTTCTTCTCGTTCCACGTAAGTTAATAAGCTACTTTCTAGGTTTGATTTTTTTTCTAAATTACTCCCCTATCGATCAATATGCATCGACATTGGAGACCCCGGGAATTAAATTGAGACAAGCCTTTCGAATTAGTTTGACTAAATTCTATTCTCTTTGGAGTTAAATATTTTGGTCCTTTAAAAATTATATTTTGCTTCGTTCAATATTATTTGCTTTCAGAATTTTTATTGTTTTCATTTATGTTTTTTTCTTCTTTGTGTCACCAATTTTTTTCAATATAAATTCTTCATATTTTCCAACATATATTACTTGCTAAACTTCTTTCTTTCTTTCTTTTTTGCGTCATTTCTTCGATATTTCTTTCTTTAATTTTTACATTAATAATTTCTTTGCTTTCATTTTTTCTTTAATCATTTTTTATATGCAAACCAAAATACTTTATATTTTCAAGATTTGTTTCTCCATTTTATTTCAAATTCTTACTGGGAAAATTACATAAAAATAGAAAAGAAAAGACGAAGTCAAAATGTTTTGCCAGCCATCGTCTGTAATCCTCAGAGATGTTCTCTTAAGAGCAAAGCAAGTTATAACTCAAAAGATTGCAGGAACCGCTAAAAGTCAAAGTAAAGTATCGTCTCTTTATTGTTATTCTGTAACCAAAATAATAATGTTTTTTCAAAAAAAAAAAAAAAAAAAAGAAAAGAATAGCATATGAGATAATCAAAAACAGAATATAATAACAAGTAGAACTATTTCAAAATGCCTCAATTGGGACGTCATTTATAATTTATCCAAACTAATATTCTTAAGACTGTTATCAAGCAAGTGCAGAAAGGTGAAAAGGAGATACGACTTGCTAAAAGATATTGGTAAAAATGAATACTTGAAAATATCACACAAGCATTCATTTACTAATTTCATTTTGTCATTAACGTAAAATAAATCTCATAAAAACAGTAAATAGAAAAAGCAGCGATTTGAAAATTATGCAGGTAGAAAAATGGACGAGAAGCGAAGTTTTGATGCAATGAAAATGCTATTTCTAAATGATTGTAAAGCCTTTTCTGTTCTTTGAAAAGTATTTCGCCATTGCTTAAAAATATTTGTCTGAAGAAGTTTAAAGATTTTTCCTCTGATCTAGCTCTAACATCACATTTAGGGAAGAAACTGGCTGGTTACATACAGTGCTTCGAAAAACAAACTAGTTACATTCCATCATCAGCGATCGGACTGAATGGATGTTCCCTCAGAAAGGCCTCGTGCCTTGACCGATTATTGGGACTTTAAATCAACGTAGAACTCGTACATACGATTCATCTCTAAAGATGTTGAGAAAATGGTCGGTTCCCTGTACAGCTGCAGTAAGTAACTGTCTCCTCCTGCTATCCTCTACCTTTACAAGAGGGAGATCAGGCCTAAAATGAAGTACTATTGCTATATATGAGCAGGAGCTGCCTAGTTATCACTTTCTGGTTACGACAGAGACCAAAAGCTACTCCTAGTCTTTGTGGGTGACAAATTATTTTCCACCCTGCAACCGCTTTCTCATAGCTCTATTTCTATTTCTATGGAAAGTGCTCAGACAAATTACATTCCTTAGTCCTACCAGTGCTAACCATCACGGCTAGGACGCACCATGCCACACCCATAGTAACGAAAAACCCTAATTCCATCCGAATTTCATTGGTGAGATGTAAGTTCCACCTGAGCAGATTCTTCCCCCGATCCGATGATTTGTGGAACCGATTCCCAAGAGGATGCTTCCTCGACCACTACAATCTTAACCTGTTCAAGTCTAGTTAACCGTTTATCTCCTCCATATATCTACGTAAAATGTGCTTCTTACTCTTTAACCCTCTACCTCGAGTGGTTCCCGAGCCTTGTATAGAGTAAGCATCATTGTAAAAGAATGAATGGCAACGTCCAGAAAAAAAGCGCATTCACAGGGTACTGGATTTGAGAGAGAGAGAGAGAGAGAGAGAGAGAGAGAGAGAGAGAGAGAGAGAGAGAGAAAAGAGAGAGAAATCCTGGCTTTCCATTGCAGGAAAACAGACTCCAAAGTGAATATCAAGTAAACAGAAAATTTAATATTCTACATACATTGGCGCAGGCAGAATTTTCGCGTTCTATTGCAATAGATCTCTCACGATTTATTCATGTTTATTTATCTTCCTTCATTTGTATGAATACACACGTTTAGCCGTTGTATTAAGCATTAGCTTTCGCACCTTACAATATAACATTTATTTGAATAAGATCGCTACTCAATCTGCATATTGTGCATTGAAAATCAAGAAGACAGAGATTTGCAATGATCAAGTATTAATGCAAGTTGTATTATAACAAAATAGCTATAATAAACAGAATTTAAATACATTGGCTGAAATCAATGAAAGACGTTGTCACTAGTCAGGGATTAAGGAAAGTATTATTGACACTATAAACAATTATAAGAATAACGTAAATGTAACGTCAATTTAACATGCATTAAAATAAAGCGATTTTCAGTGATCAGAGTTGAAAAGTATTATCGGTTGAATAGTATTTTTATATATGTAACGGGCGCTCGGTATATGAGATTGTACTTTTAGCGGTCTATGAATAGAAACTGTCCTAACTTAATGTTACGGGGCATGCGTCAAATTTTGACATTATCACTTCTCTTTCAGTCGTAAACAGAGCCTTATCACGGTAACTTTTAATTTGGCATAAGACGTGAAACGGTACACCGCGCTCGCGTCACTAGCCACTAACTAGAGTAACTCGCAGATAGCGAACATCTTGGAAGTGGCAAGATGAACAGGAGTAATGGCAGGTGAATCTGTGCAGGTCCAACAGATGTAGTCATTCATTCCGTTTGTAATAACTTTGGAGATGATGAAAAACGAGGGCTGCGTCACTCTGGTCTACCTAATAGTGACTCAGGGCCAATACAAGTGTTTACATCGAGGTGTTGGACACTGTAATTAAGGCCTGGATTGATGGAATGGCTATACATTTTTTCAGCAAGACTCTGCTCCCTTCTACATCATCTCCGTGACACAAGCCTTATTGTCTCTCCCAACATACATTCTCGATTTTCATTCCCCTAGACTACTACGTTGGGGGAAGGGCGTCGTCGAGACGGAGACCATCTAACGACCTCATAATTCCAAACATACGTTCAAAGCAGCCAACGTGGACTCGATGGTTAAGATAACTAAGAGTCATCTCACTTGGCTATACGACCACTTCAAATTCCTCATCATGTACCCTATTGACGCTGAAAACTGTTTTATTGAATAAACTGCTTTTGTTTTACTACATGGATGCAGATCTTTTGAAATTACAATGACTTTTTACTATTGAATATTTTCATCTTTCTTTATATATTTTCTCAATTAGTTATTGCCCACCGTATAATAAATATTTATAGAAAAATAGGTAAATTCTTTCACTAGTGAGAACATCTTATTGTATAGATGTTTTGGAATTGGATCGGCAGTTCAACTCCGAAAAGAATTTTAGAATTAATCGAAGGAGTGCCCTGACCATCTTTTATTCGTCTGTTCTTATTTAAATTCTCGACGTCTTCCTTCAATGTTTGAGGTTTAGTGGCTGATACAAGGGAACTCATCAACGACCATATAATCTGAGTTCCTGTCTCATTCCTTTTGTTTCTCTCGCATCTTCTTACTTCATTATCCGTTATGGGAAGACAAAGAACTTGTTTCAAGAATGAAGTACAAAAGTAACTCTTTTCTTCATCGCCTTTGCTTCTACTCAATTCTTTCTAACCTTTTAACGAAAACTAAATGGGTGAACTAAGTCAAGCCTTAAACCGCAAAAAGTCAACGTGTCCTGAGAGAAAGGGAGGCTGTAATCAGAGAATCTGCATACTCATTTGTGAACTCTTTATTTTTATCGAGCCGAAATGATAAATATATTTACGCGAGCAAGGTTTTGAAAATACTTTATTAAATATTACCAGAGGGAGGCAATTAACACTTTCTAAGTATATGACAAGTCATTTGGGACTGTGCGATTTTTAAAAGGTTGAACCTGGGGTTTTTCATTAACCGAATAAAAACCAATAGAGAATCGATTCGTTCTTTTCTTCTGATGTATCCATCCAGTATCCATAATGGCGATATTTTTATGCATTCCTTTTTCAACGCGACTTTCATCCCATCATAAAAGAAGAATTCATGTTTTGATTCGACGAATTCAAGTAATATTTGCTTATCTTGAACTTTTTAGAACCGTTAAATGGACAAGGAAAGTTTACGAAACAAAGTTAATCAATCTGGAAAATATATCATATGTAGAAGAACATCCCATTCCAACTTCGTTATCATTAGCTCTCTTATTTACAAAACCGGTCGATATTTTTGGCTCAGAAAACTAATTTCTGAACTAATATGTGATTCAATTGGGCCAATTACTCACTTTAGCGCTGAGCAGTGACAGTTTAGGTATTTAGGTTTCTTCAGTTATCATTGGATGTAATCAAGAAATAAATACATTCACTTAGGTTTGAGATGTTGACGGCTGTCTTAGAGATAATTATCTTCATTTTTTTATTCATTTTTTTAACCAAACAATATCAACTATTACCCTAGAAATACATTTTTGTAACTAAACGTTTGATGACTCACC